GAAATTACAAAGTGATATTAATCAGGTCAGCGCGTGGTGCTCAAAGCATTGTCTTTTGTTCTATTCAAGAAACACCAACGTCATCACATTTAGCCAAAAATATGTTGTGCATACGTATTCTAACATGATGAACCAGTGTAAAATAGAACGAAAATCTGAATTTCGTGATCTCGTTGTGTTATGGGATTCAACCCTTCGAATGTAAGCACATGTCCATGCTCTGGTAACTTCATCATTGTGGATACTTGGCACGAGACTTTAAAAACCGGCGCACTGCAATAGTACTGAACAACTGTTTAACTGCTACGTCCGCTTGAGATTGGAATTTGCATAAACTACGTGGAATTCATTGGCTTTGTCTAGAGTTGAAGGCGTTGAAAGCATTGAAGGCGTGCAGAGACGCGTTATCCGTTTGATTTACGATTGACACCTCGTTGAAAAGTTTACTATGATTATAACTGGCTACTTTGTCAATTGAAATTGACCGCACCTGCTGAGAGAAGAGATGTTCGGGATTTGCTATTTTTCCATAAAGTATTGAACAACGAAGTAGCTTGCCTAGGTCTGCTAACCAATATAGGTATTCGCGTACCGTCCCGCTCCTTGAGATAAACTGAACGTTTTAGTGTTCCCATACATTCCAACCTCTCGCCTTTCACAAGAATTGTGACATTGATAACAGTTTTGCGTCACCTTCGAAAATATTTCTTTATACATTTGAGCGATTTAAAAAAAAAAACGAAAAAACGTAGTGGTAGCGAAAAAGACATAGGACTTGTACATTTCAATGTTGTCTTTGTATCTTCTTAATTGTAGTGTTCGCACTACTTGTTTCGTTGTGAATGTATTAAAGTGTAACACTGGTGAGGTGTTTAGCTGTTGGTGGGAATCTTCAACTCAAGAATAAATAAAATAAATAAGTAAACAAATAAAAACAATAATTTAGAGCTTTCCACTTCAAGTGCAAAAAGTTTTCCATTGAAAATTGCATACGTTTTAGTCGCCTGCTATATGGGCGAATCTTCGTCATATTGTATTAAAATATATAAATATTAATTTTATTTCGTTATAGCAGATTTGAGCTGTACTTTCTGTAATACAACTAATACATTGAAAAGCAAACTGCTGAAACTTTCAAATATGGAAAAGGATTTGAACAAACTGAGAAAGGGAACTCGCCAAACTGACGGTTTAACTGTCGAGACTCCTCAAATAAAAAGCAAACTCTACAAATTGAATATATATATATATATATTGTAAGATGGAGATAGCGATAGCTTTCGGTCAGGGCGCAGGCTGGATTCGAATATCCCGGTCGTGCCACGAGCAGCCCGCGATCAGTCCTTACGATGATGATCGTTGTAATGATGAGGGCGATGAATTTCGTTATGATGGTGTGTATTGTGACGATGAAAGAAGATGATGTCCTCGTGAGATTTGTCGCTCTTAGGAAAAGGCGACATCCTGGCGTCGTGAAGAGGTTATTGTGGTTCGGGTGGTGGGTAGTAGTTTTTGAGTCGGCTGACATGTACAATGTCGCGATTGCGGCGACGGCGGTCTTGGGGGACCTGTAAGGGTTCCACGATGTAGTTGACTGGTGATGTGCGATCGAGTATTCAACACGGACCGAGGTATTTGTCGAGAAGTTTTTGGGTCAATCCAATGTGGCGCTGTGGGACTGACAGCCAGATCAAGTCTCCAGTCTCGAAAGAAATATATCTCGGTGATGGTTATCATAGCGGCGTTTCTGATCATCTTGGGCGCGAGTAGTTTGGAGGCGCGCTAGTTGCCGGCATTCCTCAGCGTATGAAGCCATGTCAGAGACGCTCTGATGTTCGGTGAAGTCAGACCGGTAGGGTAAGACGGTGTCAAGTGTGCACGTTGCTTCTCTGCCAAAAAGAAGAAAAAACGGAGGAAAACCGGTCGTGGTGTGAGTGCTGGTATTGTACGCGAATGTAATGAATGGTAGGACTTTGTCCCAGTTTGTTTGATGGAGGTCTGTATACATAGCGAGCATGTCTACGAGTGTTTTATTGAGCTTTTCGGTTAAGCCATTCGTTTGAGGATGGTAGGCCGATGTGGTACGATGAATAACATTGCAAGCTTGCAGGAGTTCTTGCACAAGGGTGGATAAGAATACGCGGCCACGATCGCTAAGCAACGTCTGGGGGGCTTCGTGCCGTAGTAAGATGTTGGTGAGGAAAAAATGGGCAACGTGATCTGCTGTGGCATTAGGTAGGGCGCATGTTTCTGCATAGCGAGTAAAGTGGTCGCTCGCTACTAAGATCCAGCGGTTGCCAGAAGCCGAAGCATGGAGGGGCCCAATAAAGTCAATCCCAACTCTTTGGAAGGCACGCTCGGGGCACGGTAGTGGTTGTAATAAACCAGTAGGGGACTGAGGTGGGCGTTTGTGTCGCTGACAGTCGGGACAGGCTTGAACGAAGCTCTGCTTGCTGCGGTAGAGCCTAGGCCAGAAATAACGCTGGGAAATTCTGCGATAGGTTTTCAGGAAGCCAGCATGGCCACTTGTTGTTTCGGAGTGAAGTGAGTGAAGAACGTCGCCTCGTAGTTCTCGTGGGATACATAGTAACCAGCGATTTCCCTGTGGGAGGTAATTTCGTCTGTAAAGCAGACCGTCTCGGATTTGAAAGTGATGGACGGAGCGAAGGAAGGCACGATTCGAGGAGGTGTGAGTGTAGTTGAGGTGGTTCAAAATGCGGCTAGAATAGGGGTCCGATATTTGCTGGCTGGCGACACTGTGGAGACTTAACGGTAGGACGAAAAGTGGGTCTTCCACGTCAGAGGTATCGGTGAGTGGTAAATCCGGTAGTGGGCAGCGTGAAAGGCTGTCCGCATCTCCATGCTTCTTCCCAGACTTGTACAGCACGGTATAGTCGTACTCTTGGAGGCGCAACATCCACCTGCCAAGACGACCGGATGGATCTTTTAAGGATGATAGCCAGCAGAGGGCGTGATGATCAGTCACTACGTCGAAACGACGTCCGTATAAACACGGACGAAATTTCGTAATAGCCCACACGATGGCGAGTCCCTCTTTTTCTGTCGTAAATAATTTCTTTCTGGTTTGATTAGGGTTCTGCTGGCGTAGACGACGACGTAGGTGTCATAGTGTTGTTTTTTCTGAGTAAGGACTGCGCCCAACCCGAAACCACTAGCGTCAGTGTGAAGATCTGTCGGTGCGTTATTATCAAAATATCGCAGGATTGGGCCCGACGTTAATAGTTGTTTTAGTCGGTGGAATGAGTGTTCACAATCCGTGGTCCAGGCAAACGGTGTGTCCTTTTTAAGTAGACCGTGAAGAGGTGCTGCGATGCCTGCAAATCCGCGCACAAAGCGTCTGAAATAGGAGCAGAGGCCTAAGAAACTCCGAACATATTTTTTCATCTTGGGGTGGTGGGAAATCAGAAATGGCTCGAATTTTATCTGGATCTGGTCGGATTCCTTCGGGCGAAACGACATGACCGAGGATTAGAATTTGAGTACATCCGAAATGGCATTTTCGTGTGTTTAACTGTAGTCCTGCGTTTGCTACGCAATTCAAAACGGTGTTAATGCGAGATAGATGCTCTTCAAAAGTTCGTGAAAAATAACAACGTCGTCTAAGTAACAGAGGCAAATCTTCCATTTGAGACCACGAAGTACGTTGTCCATCAACCTTTTAAATGTAGCCGGCGCATTACATAAGCCAAAGGGCATTACGTTAAACTCAAATAGACCATCGGGTGTAGAGAATGCTGTCTTTTGTTTGTCATCTTCAGCCATAGGGACCTGCCAGTAGCCTGAGTTTAGGTCCATCGTTGAAAAATATTCGGCTCCCTGGAGGCAATCTAGCGTGTCATCAATTCGTGGCATCGGGTATACATATTTTTTGGTTATTCGGTTTAAACGGTGGTATTCCACGCAAAATCGAATAGTCCCGTCTTTTTTCTTTACCAAAACGACAGGAGATGCCCAGGGACTGCTTGACGGACGCACGACTCCTTTCCGATGCATCTCACTTACTTGATCGTTGATCATATTACGTTCGGCTAAGGAAACTCGGTACGGCCGCTGCCTTAGTGGTTGCTGCTCCCCGACGTCGATTCGGCGTTTAGTGGAAATCGCCTGGCCGGGGGCTAATTGACCAACACCGAAACATTTGCTGTATTTGTGAAGAATGGCGTAGAGCTTTTCCCTTTGGTCTTTGTGAAGGTTAGGATTGATAGTTTCAAGTAGATGAGGCGAACTAGGATAAGTCGTGGTTGTAATACCAGTGGTGTCGGTTTGCTGGGCCAGAGCGACTACTTGAAGTGTGTCAGATATTATTGCCGTTCCTAAGACAAGGCCTGGCGGTAAAGGACAATTAGAAAAAGACGAATTAGTGACCATGATCAACGCTTCCTTATTTACGAATGTAGCTAAACTGTATGGGGTGAGAAGCCCTGTTTTGGCAAACGTCGGTTTTGAAGGCGAAATTAAAACATCACTTTGAATCGGGTCCGACGAAGAAACTACTACACTCGTGGAGGAATAAGGAGGAATTACGGTGTTTTCTGCAACAAAGACCTTATAACTGTTACTGGGCTCAGGAAATGCAGGTGGAAGAACTTCGGATAATTCTATTGTGGAGTGGGAACAATTGATAATTGCTGAAGCCTTAGACAAAAAATCCCAACCCAAAATTATCTCGTGTGAACATGAGGCGAGAACGAAAAATTCAACAACATGGAAAACCCCGTCCCAAGAAAGGCGAGTTGTACACCTTGAAATGGGCATCAAATTTTGCTTACCAGCTGTCTGAAGGACAAGACCGGTACACGGGGTGGTTACTTTCTTGAGTCTTCTACAAAGATCATACCTCCTGACGCAAACAGCAGCACCGGTATCTACTAGAGCTTGAATACGTAAATCTTCAATGCACACTTCGACCATGTTGTTCGGAAAATGAGGGCTTTGAGATTGTGAAGGTGCTAGAGTTCTTGCCTCCTGAACCGCAGGTATCAGTTTCCCCTAGGGGTGGGGCTGACATTGCGGGGGAGCATTGGTGAAGAAGACCTACGGCGTGGCGATGGCGAGTGGTACCGCTCTGATGTACGAGGTCTGTCACGGTAGTCGTCACGGGGCGAGGGCGGCCTATAGGTGGACTCATGCTGGGGGGTCGAAAATGGACGATACGGGGCATCGTAGGTGATGGGACGGCGTCGGCAATATCTTGCAATGTGGCCCACCATGCCACAACTGAAGCAGACGGGACGTCCGTCAGGAGCCCTCCATTGCACTGATTTCGGGGCCTGAGGAAACGATGTTGGAGCTGCATATGGTAGAGGTGTGTGTACAGCTGGTCTACTCAATATCTCGGCATACGTTGGTCTTAAAGGTGGTGCGTTTAGGGAAGAAACGCATCCAACCGCAGCTGCGACCTCGTCCTGGATAATAGTCCGAATGCTTGCCGCAGGTAGTGGGGCTTGCGCTATCTGGGATGGTGGGGTGTCGTTCAAGGTCCCCAAGACGCGTGCTACCTCCTCGCGAACAGTGTCGCGAATGAAGTTCCGGAGGCTATCGCGAGTGCCGATGGTGTCTTCGTGAGGTGTGGTGAGACTCGCTATTTTGGGAGTCGGTACGACCCTAGCTGGAACGTGAAGTCGTTGATGCCTAATTTCTTGGAAGTTCTGGCACGCCTCGACGAGGTTTTCTACGGTTAGTGCGTTTTGAGTTGCCAGCAGCTGGAATGCATCTTCGCCGATTCCTTTCAGTATGTGATGCACTTTTTTCTTCTCGGGCATGTCGGAGTCAACGCGTCTCGTCAGTTTCAAGACGTCTTCAATGTAGGCCGTAAACGTTTCCTCGGGTTGTTGTACCCGCGTGGCCAGCTTGCGCTCGGCTGTGAGCTTACGCACCGCGGGTCTGCCGAAGACTTCCCTGATTTTCTGGGTGAACTCCGGCCATGTTGTCATGCAAGTCTCGTGGTTTTTGAACCACGTGTTGGCGACTTCCGACAGATAAAAGATGACGTTGGTTAGCTTGGTGGCGTCATCCCACTTGTTATGGCGGCTGGCCCTATCGTACGAGTCAAGCCAATCTTCCACGTCGTCGTCTCCAGCTCCGGAAAACCATTTCGGGCCTCTCTGGCGAAGGAAACCGGGACAGAAGGTTGTCTGTGGACTAACCTGTCCTGCCGCTGAGGTGGAGCCGTCAGCTGGTGGAGCGGTGGTCATAATGTGTCGGAGGGTCCGGCTTCGCAGCTCCAGTGCAGAGGGAACCTAGGCTTTGGGGCAGAAAAGCAGCTTGAGGTCTTCAATGAGGCTACCCCGCACCTCCACCACTTGTAAGATGGAGATAGTGATAGCTTTTGGAGAGGTTTATTATGAGACTGCTCAAGGCGCAGGCTGGATTCGAATATCCCGGTCGCGCCACGAGCAGCCCGCGATCAGTCCTCATGATGATGATCGTTGTAAAGATGAGGGCGATGAATTTCTTTATCATGTGTGTATCGTGACGATGAAAGAAGATGATGTCCTCGTGACATATGTATATATATTTATATATACATATGTATATATATATATATATATATATTAGCTCGCCCACCTGGTGGTTGAACCGATCGAAATGCCTGTTGAGCCGGCAAGACTGCTGGATGAACTGCTAAGCGGCTGGTGAAACCAAACTTGTAATCAAACTGAGGTACGGTAGAAGCCTGATATTTAGAAGAGCACGGGATATTCGCCCTATTTGCGTAAGTGGCCGATTGGCATCTGTCTCTAATCATGTTTGCAAAAAGAAAACTCAATCAGTCAACCAGTGTTTATTGCTGAATTTAAGTTAAACCACAGGACATCGCGCTGACGTGTTTAAATAATAATAATTATTATTATTTTCACAGCAGGCATCAGTATTTAAGTGACAGGTTCCTCTAAGCCATTATATGGTTGTACGACTGAACCGGGCAAGTTGGACAGGCCGAAAAAAGAGAATTTAACTTTCCCAAAACTTTGAACGAAGCCATCCTTTTAACATTGCTCTGCCAGTATAACTATATATATCCTCAGGAAGGGCATTAAAGACTACCAAAATATAAGAACGGCGCAGTCTTTTCCCATATCTATAGTCCGTTGCAACCTAAGAACGAAGGGCGATGGTAAAACGGGCAGGGAAAGAGGAAGGAGACGGAACGCTGGAGAAGAGAGGGGGAAACCTCCTTCTCTCTTTAGCGTTCCGTCTGCTTCCTCCTCTCGGGCCCGTCTTACCCTCGTCCTTCATTCTTAGGTTGCAACGGACTATAGTCACAAATCTCTGTACATTAAAGCGAAGAGAAACACGAAGAAGGCGTCCAGGCTTATGGAGCGTTTGAAAATTGTCATTCCAAAAATGTAGCAGCACTACTGTTTCCTTAAATAAATGAAGCAATCAAGGCACCTGCATATCACTAAACAAATTTTCAGTGGATGAGAAAATAGAATTATATACAACACTGCGCATGATTCCTCTGAGAATACTATCAATTTTAATCCGCGAGGACGTTGCGCAAAAGGCATGAATCGTAACTCCGTATCACAAAACGCTGTAAGCAAGTGCATGGACGATAATTTCTTATTAACCGTGAACGTTACAGACACTCATATTATACATCATGCAAGCCAATTTTCTCAGAGCGCCACATACGTGAGCCATGTGTTTATTCCAGGACATATCAAATTAAAAAATGAGTGCCATATATCTAGTGGAGTCTTCCCAGGCCACAGGCGTACAAGAGCATGGTTTACAAGCAGAACTGTGCACGCAAAAAGGAACATTAAAAAACCCGTTTTAAAGTATTTGAAAACAATTAATTTGGATATTAGGGGGTTAACCTTTATGCGATTAGAGTTATACCAATCCATTAGGTGGACAACATTTGATTGCATAATGTTTACAGCTTTGGGAAAGTCTACATGACGTGAAACAAGCAAAATATCATTCGCATATTGAAATAATCTACATTCATAATTAACAGATTACAAGTCATCAAAATAAATGTTAAGAAGCAAAGGAGACAACAGCGATCCCTGAGGAACACCGGTTTGAAAAAACTGCAAGGTACTGTTTTGGCCTTAAAATGACAGTCTTCAACTGGTCAGGACTCAGGCCCGACTCAATAAAAGTGTTCATCATGAAAACATCTTTAACATATGCAAAATTACGCTGAGGACTACCGGCAGTTATGCCATCTGCGCCAGGCGACCTGGTAGGTTTAATGCGGAAGGGCGAAGAGCACAAGTCATCTTCGTTCATTGGAAAGAAAAAAGGAGAGGTGTCATTATTTTCCATATCAGCCTCAGGTTCAAACATACATTGTGGGACACTAGTGGGATTTACAAAAAAAAAAAAGAATTTAAACATTCTGTTACATTCGTGAAGTTTTCACCGAAATTACACGTGATCAAGTCGTCCACAGTTCGCCTGCAATTCCAACCTTGCAGATAGTTAACAATAGACAGAGTCTCGGCAGAGCTGCCACGCGCCTTTGCAAACTTTCCCTTAAAATGTTGCCGTTTTGCGGAACGAATTAATGCGTTAGCTCTGCTTCTCGCGACACAGAACTCGGAACGAACTCGGCGACTATGGGACCATCAAACGTCTTTTTATTTAATGGCGGCGAGGACGTCCTCATTTAACCAAACACACTCGGGTGTCCGTTTTTTTTTTTTTTATCGTCACAGTACATTTGGATAAGCCGTTGAAGGATTTGGATGAAATGAGTCGGTCAAGTACTTTATTGTCCATGATTTGCATTATGTTTATTATCGCTATCTATCCTCGTCTCCGTAATCGTCCCAAACTTGCATGCAATAAAATAATGATCGGCTAGTTCTTAGGAGATAACTAAAAACATAACCACAGCATTTCGAGCTCCTACAAAAATATGGTCAATTGATAACGACACTAATTTATCTACTTAAATTCCTTCTGCCGTAGTAGCACTGATGACGCATTCCACGCCTTCACGAGCCAATATGTTGAGATAATCACATACCTCAAATATATACTGCTTCGCTACCCTGCTTCACAGCAGGCACGTTTCTTTCACAGAAACCACAATACGCCCACCTCCATTTTTGATCGCGAAAATCAGAAGGATTTCAAGGCCTTCAGTTTGAATTGGTTCCATCAGTCCTCAGATATATTATACTTTCGTCTAGTACAAAAACGTCCGTATTTACCACCACATCCTTCGTCAAAACTTTAAAGAGGTCCCAATATTTTCTTAAGCTTCGTATATTCACGTGCATTACCATGAAAATCTGTTGCTTAATATTTAGCCGTTTTGTTAACGGCACTGAAATACTCGCATTGTTGAAAAAGAGCTGTTACTCCTCTAGCGCATGCTTCCGACGGCGTCCACAGTGTTCACTCGAATAAGTGGCGCGCCTTCCTTCTTTTTTTTTTTGCAAAAACCTTCCCCCCCCCCCCCCCTGACCCAGTCAAATTTAAAATGTACTTCCTTCGCCTTTTTTCTGGTCATCCAGAAAAGTTCTCTCTTTAGACGAGTAATTTTTTCATTAAAATAAACCTTTGGTAGGTCTCCCGGTTTGTTAAGCGTCCGCAGCAAATCACGGCAACCCATATACGCTCTCCAGACCCTCGTGGATGAAAACCTTATTATGATAGCAGGCACGAAGTCGCGCTTTGACGATAGCCTGTGAATAGCAAAAAGGACAGTTTCTAGAAAATGAGGAAGGTTGAATTTCGCTGCGAGCTCGGCAATGACCGTTTATAAATATTCGTCACTGGTGTGTAGAATCCAGTTGATTTCCCAGTTCGTCGAGCAACTGCGTTGTTCCATGTAATATGCGTCGCTACGAATTTGCTGAATAATACACTCTTGGTATTTAAGAGTAGCGGCTACCCCCGCTAGTTCGACTTTCCCTTTTTCAACGTTTTCCCCATTTGTCGTTGATTTGCTGAGTTCCCAGTGATATTTTGTTGTGCGGTCATCCACTGTCTCGAAGTTTTTTTGAACTGCCTCCTGAAGATTTCGCACGTCAGGCTTCAGTGTTAACAGTGCGTCAACCTTAGCTGGGAGCGTAAGCAGTGAGCCGACACTTGCCCTCATAGGCAATAAAATGTCTAAATTGGCCACTACTGCGCTGAACTGGGTTTCCGAAGGGGAGTCGCTCTCAGGATCTTTAGCCACGCTTGCCGACGCAGATGCAGAATCAGCAGAATGGCAAGTGCGGCAACGCCATTTCGCTCTTTTCTCAGCACCCATTGTGGCGTAGGTGGACTCTGACTTCCCGGCAGGACCCCAGGTGGTAAATGGTCTTACACTCCACACAAACGATGTATCTGCCATCAGCCGAAACATCTTTAACACATACGAGGCACTCACTCGGGGCCTCCATGATCAATTGAAAAATGACACGTTATATCGGAGGGCAAAACAAAAAAAAAAAGCAAAGAAAATCGGGAAGGTATGTGTCTTCTCACCTGTACAAAGAAACTGTCATAAATGTTCGGTCGCAGAAGCCGCTGCCGACTGCAAGGGTGCGCGTCTTTTCCACAGTCTTATCTTTTGAAAATAGCGCAGCAAAGGGCGTCACGAAGCGGCATGTAGGCGACGAGGGAGCTGGTCAGCGGCGCAGCAATTGCGAGGGCCAAGGTGATGACGAGCCAGGATCAGACCAGCCCAGAAAGTGAACGGAGCGGAGCACGCTCGAAAGCAGCTCGGGCTTGTGAAGAGTAGGTTTCGTTAGCTTCCGCCAAACAAATCGTCAACAAATAATAATAATAATAATAATAATAATAATAATAATATTAATAATAAAGCATTTAGTGTCTAGTAAAGCGTCCAGGAACATCCATTGGTCTTCGTGCTGGCGCAGTTCAATAAAGCGCGCATATACACAAACACGCCCGCGTGCGTGCGCGTACGCATGCACGCTGACGCGCACACACACACAAGCACATACGCACACGAGCACGCACACACAAGCACGCGCGCGTATCCACACGTGCGCACACAGACACACACACATAAGCGCACGCACGCAAATATGACAAAGGAAACAGGGCTTCACATGGTTTCAGTTTCACACATAAAAATAAAAACTCAAGTTGAGAT